ACGAACTAAGATGAGCGTCAACTTTAGATGTGTATGATCATATTCAGTTTTGTTACCAGAATAAAAGCATCTGCTTAGTTTTCCTAACTATTTAGAAAAACAAAAGTATGCTTCGAACCTTAACTGCGGGATCAATTGGCTAGGTCCCCCAGGCAAAGCACGTCGATCCAGCACATCTTGGAGACTAGCTAAATCATGGGCATAGAGACGATGTAGAGTGGTAGAACTTTGGGTATCAACTGAATCGCTTCCCAAAGCTGCACGTCGTCTGCTAGCTCCCATGCGGGTAGAGGAAGCCGATAAAGTATCCTGGCCGATGGAGGTACTAGATGCGCCATTAACTGTATTTCCGTCACCTTCTCCATCTCCGTCAGACAGCAAATCGAGTTCATCAAGTTCAGCTCGCCGGTAGAGTGACGGTCGCCCAAGCGAGCAGCGTAAAAGAGGTCGAGCTGCAGAAAGACTGGAAAGCTCAGCAAGAAGACGATTAGCAGATGCTTGAGTTAAGAGCTCATTCCCACAAAGAGGAGTGGATGAGGTGGTTTCTGATGCCGCTGTGTTGTTCGTGGCCAAAGTAGAGGATCCTAGGGAACCTGAGGAGCTCCTATACGCCTCGCCTATGTTGACAGATGAGGCTGGTGTTGGTGTCGTGATGACAGGGGCTTTTTTCACTAAAAAAAGTCAATATACATGGATTAAAGCAAAATGGCCAGTCATAAAAAAATAACATTAAAGATAATAGCATAAAGCGGAAAAGTGTGATGAAAGTTTGTTGCATAAATGCATATGAGTAAATCTAATGCAAGCTCTATCCACGAATTTATTTCAAAAATAAAAACGCATTAAAAATATTTCAATTATTATGTATGGAATATTTTAATAATAGAGTTATTAGACCAAAGGACTTAGAGTTGGAAATTATCAAGAATAATAGGGCAGAAAACGCAGGACTAGCTAATTTCCACAAGGTCTCACAGTCTAACCAACTAAATGGTGAAAGCGAAGTCAAATGAACACTACAAGTCTAAAGAAGACTGCGACTAAACCTAAGACTACATCATTGGGTCCTTCATATATATTTTTTTTTGTTTATTTATTTATTCACGTATTAAATGAGACCTTAGATGAGAGATGAAGAGTAAACTTGTGTACTAAGATGTTCAGTCATACTGGCTAGTTATATATTTACTAAGTTATTTTCAGACTCAAAACGATTAATAGATGTAAAAGTAAAAATTTGGGTATAAAAATGAGCTAAGACACAGTAATTGGCAATAATCAAATAAAAATAATTTTCAATAAAAAACCTCGATGCAAAAAAATAACGTCTGCAAAAT